TTTCCTTTTAACTGTAGCAATAGACACCATTAAGCAGGAATTTTCAAACATTTTTTGTGTGTGGGCATAAATGCCTTTGTTGAAGTTTCTTGGAATAAAAATTTTAGATGCATAGGATAAATAGTGTACTAGCTTTCTACTGCTGCCATAACAAATTACCACAAACTTCATGGCTTAAACAGGACAAATTTATTCTCTTACCATCTGAAGGTCAGAAGTCTAATAGAGGTTTCACTGGGCTAAAACTTCAGGTGTTGACAAGGCTATGTTCCTTTTCGGAGGACCTAAGAGGTAATCTATTTCTATTGTCTAGAGGCCACCCACATTCCTTGGCTCAAGGCTCTTTTTCCATCTTCCAAGTCTGCAAAGGCAGATCAAATCCTTTTCACCTCCCTCTCTCTGACCACACTGGAAAAGGTTCTCTGCTTTTAGGAATACATGTGATTAGACTGAGCACATCTGGATAATCCAGGATAATCTCCTCACCTCAGACAGTTTTGAATTTAATCACAACTGCAAAGTTCTTTAGCCATGTAAGGTACCATATTCACAGGTTCTAGGGATTAGGGCGTGGGCACTTTTGGGGCCATTATTTTACCTAACTGGGATTATGGATAAAATAATGTGGAATCTGGAATAAAAATATTCTAAAACCCAAATTTTTGATATAATAATATATGTTTCTTTTTATTAACACATTAATGATATCTAGACCAGGTCTAATAATGTCCATAAATTCAATATAATAATGAACATAAATGATTTTTCAATATATCAATAACCATAACAACTGTAATGAGGTATGGATATGTAATTTTTTATTGGTGACAGTCATAAAAGTTGCTAATACTATTGTGGTTTGTTGTTTATATTCATAATTGTCTGGAATGCTAAATTTCAGCTGGAGATTAAACAAGTTAAGTTTTTTTTTTCCTCATCCAAAATCACAGACCCTTCTCTAAGTTCTAAGGAGACATTTAAAAAATGAAACACTGATGTTGCTCTGGCCTTGACGGGAAGAGTATGGACCCTTTTATAAAGCTGTGCATATTATCTAGAACAGCAAGCCTGAATAAAGACAGCAGATAAGTGGGAGTTTCAATAATACCAGAAAAATCCTATTATTTTCAAGCTCTGCTTTCTCCACAAAGCCTTCTTGGACATTGTTAGCTCCTCTAGGTCTCTCTCCCAACTCGGATTTTTCATAGCGCAATTCCATTTTTTCCACACACAGCAACAACCTAAACTTTGTTCTTTTTTTTCTCACTAATTTGGTATTTTATCATCCATTGTCTTAGAATGCTGGAATCTTTTCATGAAAATGTTTCTTACCACGCTGATGAGCTTAGAATCTCTGTAAGTAGAAGTGATGCACATCTTTGTTCTTTGTAATAATGAGTAAATATTTATGAGGTGATTAACCAATTAACCAAGTATTGATCCCTTACATATATATATTTTGATGAAATAGCAGATTTCAAGAACATGCTTGGATAGCTGAGTCTTTATGAATTAGCTCTCAGAACAAGATATTCTATGAAAAGATCCCAGGTCTGAGAGCTGGAGCCTTGTAACTCTGGGGGGAAATCCCAGGGCAAAATATCTCTGCAACTGAAATCAGTCAAAGGGAGAAATAAAGTTAAGAAACCCTTTTATTTCTTACAAGCAGTCGTCCTGTCTCTCTCTTGACCTGGCTGCAGCAGAAGAGATCTCCACCCAACCTCTCTGGTCCAGATAAAACCTGGCACACCCTTGTAGTTACCTATTGATATGTAGATGACTAATTCTCTCCACCCCTTGGAAACTTCTACTGATATGCAGATGCACCAAAGGCAGGCGAGAGATTCTGGAAATATTACAATTTTACCCACAAACCCTTTCCTCTTTTTCTCTTTCACTTACCAGCTTTGTGATCCTGACCTAATAAATGCATCTCTCTGGGGCTTCAATTCCCTCCTTCAGAAAATGGAAGGACTGGATTAGGGCATCTCTAAGGGCCCTTGCATCTTAGGAATTCGTGAATTATAAGACTTTATGCCACCTTCATCAACATTGCTGAAGTTTTAATACTTCATTAGGACTGAATTCAAGTTTTCAGGATAATTCAGTTTCCCCAAGTAGTTTATGAATTTAAATGCCTACACACTGAGACTTTCCTGAGAAGGTAAATTGTGACTGTATCAAACACATTCCTAAAAGTTTAATTCCTTCTTGTTATGAGGCTTATTTGGATTGACCTGTTATCTCTAATTCTAGTCAAATTCTTTCATACCCAAGTGAAAGAGGGATTGGTTAGTGAGGTCCTCAGAAAGTTTTTTATGAAACTATGCTGTGAACTCTTCAAAAATTGTCTTACAAGAACTAAAGCATCCTGATGACTTACCCTAGTCATTTGCTCAACCAACAGTCATGGCAATAATAAGCACCAATAATTCTCCAAGCAGGACTTCAGCGATATTTCCTGTAAATTGTTGAGACGGAGATGTACCTTTACTTCTGTCTTTTAAAGCTCTGGGTAGAGTAACCCATCCCTTAAGCTGCTTCCAATTTGTCTCTCCCACCCCACCCTCCTTTTAGCCCTATCAGCCGTCTGCTCCACAGCCCCTGCTCCCTTGGGTGAACCCACCCTCAGGTGTCTGAGAGACCTAAGGCCCAAGGGTTTGGGTTACAGCAGGGTGTGTGAGGATCATCACAGGGACTGGAGCTGACACAGAGTTGGGATCTACGAGTGGACACACACTCAGCTTCACAAAGTAAAGAAACAGGGAAGGATTTGGACTCGAATTTATCTATTCCATCCTTAAGACATTGCTGCTGATCTCACTGGGATGTGAATACACTCTTTCTGTTAGGCACTTTCTCCCTAAGGCTATTTTGCTATAATTGAAAAAGTGATTCTGCACTTTCCCATGTTTATATTTTTCCTTTGTGCTTCCTTTTTCTCTCAATTACCCATCTCATGCTACTGGAATAAAGTGGAGCTCAGGTGCCACCACCTCAGTGAAATGTTCTGCTCTATCCTCCCCAGTTTGGAGAAAGAAAATTAAGTTTCAATAACAATTCATGAACTTTTCCTTTTTGGCACTTAAAACTACTCCTTCAATTATATTTATTTGTGCACATCTGTGTCCTTAAGTAGATTTTTAAGTTCCTGAGCAGTAGAAACATCTACTCAAAGTTTGTACCCTCAGGTTACTATAATAGAAAATAAATTATTTTCGGATTTTCTTTGCCTTTTGCTCCACGTAACTCTAAAAATTATTTTCAAAAAGATTATTATCTGATACACAAATATTAAATACACACAAGTAAGTTTAACAGTATTCTCTCTGTTATTATACCTGCAGTGTTGGAGTTTTCTTGTAATGGTAAACCAGTAAATAATCTTTTGCTATGTTTTCAGCTCTGAAAAAAATTTATGCCAAGTCTCGATAGCAAAAGCTTTCATACTAATTCATTTTGGAAGTACTTAGAATATTAGGAAATGTTTATAAACAGTAAGTATTGAAAGAATCAGTAAGTACACATGCTCAGTAAGTACACATACTCATTTGTAAGTAACAAAACACACCTATATACTTTCCCTTAAATTCAGCATCAAAAAGGCAGACATATTTTTGGCAGTCTTCACACATCAAAATACAATCTCCAATCATGAGAAAAACATGGTCAGAGCTTAAAAGACTCCCACTGTGGGGTGGGGTGGGGAGGGGGAAGATGGATTGGTTTTACTCAGGGTGACAAGAACCAATTTTAAGGATCTAGTATACTAGTTGTAATTTCTAATTCTGTCAATTTTTGAGATGGGTGTTAACATCTCCAGTTATAATTGCGGATTTGTCATTTCTCCATGCAGTTTTATAGTTACTGCTTTTGTATTCTGAAGCACTTTTGGTAGGTACATAAACCTTTAGAATTATAAGGTTCTCTTGACTAATTGAGCATTTTATCATTATGAAATGACTATTTCTGGTAATATTCTTTGCTCTGACATCTTGTCAGATTTTTGCTCACAGGCAATCTTTGCATTGGCAGAAGAAAATTCCCTGCTCAAAATAACAACAACTCTTTCGCCATCATGACTATTGGTTTCAAGATTTTCTTACTAAATTCTTGGCATATTAAAATGTTCAAGACATATTTATTCACTAAATAGGATAGATGTCAGGATTTAAGTTTCTAAAGCATAGTATGATTAAAGGAACACAGACCTAACCACAAACTTTGCCTGCAGATGTCTAATGGTTATTTAGAGACTCCAAGAATCTTGGATCTTCCAAGACACTGGATCTCCAACCTGCCCTGCTCATGTTTTATGTGGGAGAACTAATGCTCAGAGGAGGGTCAAGAAGAGCAAATTTTCTTCAGCTGATGGACAGAACAGATTACAAAAAAGGGAGATGAGAACCCCAGCTTCTTGACACAGATTGGCACACTGTATTATATAACCCTGTACCCACAGCTTTACAATCTTCACACCTTTTTTTCAGTTGCATGTCTTTGAAGCTGTGGACAGGGGAGAGTATCCATTGAGAAAAAAAATTCAAATGAGTTCTGATTTTCCCCAGAGTGTTCAGGTCTCAGTGGCAGCTTCTGTAATTTTAAATTTCCATTTGCCCATTCATCTCTACAAATAATCTTCCAGCTACAATTTTTTCAGATATCATGATTATTTGAATTTTCTAAGTGGTCTGAATATTTTTCATGTTTTTAGCACACAGAGCTTTCTTATTAAATAACTCCAATGGGCTTGAACATATTAATCTTTGCCAGAATGTGGATAGACATATAAACTGCCCACAGAGAAAATGTACTTTACTAGCATGTTATTACTGTGATTTATAAATGTTTTGAGCACATCTGATTCATTGTTATTCCTCATGATTTTGACACAAAGAACCATGCATTTGAATTAGAAAACAGACTTGCTGTGTGGAATGGATGGATTCTGCCCAATATTCCAATAATGTGGAGTGAGGCTTTTTTAAAGAGAACAATGATTAACAAATCATTTCAGAACTTTATGATGCAATTGTAATTTTATCTCACACTACAGTATTAGAGAACATAGATTTCTGAACATAAGCATTTATTTGATGACACCAGCATAATTTCTTTATTCTTTCACCCATTTATCTATTAATTTCCAGTTAGGGATACTTAGGCTGCATCAGGCATCATGCAAAGTACTAGGGATTCACAGACATAGAAATAGCTCTTACCATCAAGGAACTTAGCATCTCATAAGGAAGATACATAAAAGCCAAGTTTAAGTTACATGATACATAAAGTGAGAAGGTAAATAGTAATTTTGCCAAGTTACTGTGGTTAGAGGTGGTATTATTAGTTTTATACAGAAAGTATAGAAGCATGGCACAATAAAACCTAAATGTCCTTCTTCCTTTTTAAGGGACTCTGAATGTCTCCTGCACCACAACACAAATACCATAACAGAGAGGTCAAAAAGACAAAGACAATTCCATAGTTTCCAATAAAGCAGGCGACTGATATGGTTAAGAGTGTGTCTGAAGGTGTCAAAGCTTTCATAGAGATACACAGATAAATATTTCTTTTTTAGTGAAAATAGAGTCATGCTTTAAAGGAAATTAAGAATTGAAATGCATACTTTCCATCACTTTCAGAGTGAAAATACCAATTCTTTGACAGGGCTATCAATGCCTTCAACTTCTTGCCTCCCATTTTAGTCTGTTTGGGTTGCCATAACAAAACACCATAGCCTGGGTGGCTTAAGCAACAGAAATTTATTTTCTCACAATTCTGGAGGCTAGAATTCCTAGACTAGGGTGCCTTCAGCCTCAGTTTCTGGTGAGACCTCTTTCTCTGGCTTGTAGATGTTGCCTTCTATGGGAGGGAGAGGTTGAGAGAGAAGGACAGATCTCTGATGTCTCTTCCTCTTCTGTAAGAACACCAGTCCTATGGGATTAGGACCCCAGCCTTATGAGCTCATCTTAACTACCTCCTAAGACCCGATCTCCAAATACAGTCACATCGGGAGGCAGGGCTTTACGTAGGAAGTTTGGTGGAAAACAGTTCAGTCCATAAAACCTCTCCACTATGTAGTCTCATATTTACAACACTTGTTCTCCATCTGCCATCTGCCAAAGACACTCTGAGTTACTCAAATTCCTGACAACTTTTTTTTCCTCTGTGCTGTTGCTCATGCTTTTATTTTGCTCACTTCTTCTACTTCTCTGTCTGCCTGGTTAACCTTCAATTTAACCTTTTCTTTAAGACCTCTTTGTCCAGGAAGAAATATTGGGTCTGGAGCATAACCTTCAAAACAGCACTATCGTATCAAACTTTGACTGTGGTTGCTCAATACATATGCTGGTATTTTTGAACAAATGAATGATAACAATATTTTTTAGATCTTCTAATATTTAGAACTGTGAAGCTAGTTCTCTTAGGAAGTTGTACCATGGACTCTTGTTACACAATCATCTTTCCCCCCAAACTTTAGGGAATATTTCAAGTAAGGGACAGGTGTGCTTGCCTCATACGTTCAGGTAGAAATATAATTGAGAAAATAATTGTAAATGCTATTAGTTTTACATAGAAGTCCATATCCCAATCTGACTTCCTGAAGGTGAAGGCTATCAACTGGATTTTTAAAATAAATGTTTTAGAATAAACACTGTATGCTTAAAATTGTTACTTTAAAATAAAAAGGAAAGAAAGAGGCATGTCTAGGAAAGCCAGGACTCCCTAGCAATGTGGGACACCCTCTCCAAGATGACATATTAATCCATTGCATCACTCATTCAAAACTTGCTTATTTTCTCTCTGGACTCAAAGTCCATTTGCTGTCAGGTCACAGATTCCAACATGTGTGTGTTCATGCCCTGTATTCACTGCCTAGCACCCACAGTTAATTAGAGCACACTGCCCAGATAGTAGAAAAAGCTAGCTGTTAACACCTCCCACTAAGAATAGGAATTGCGACCTTGTGACCCATGACCTTGATAATGTGGAGTTCACTTATAACATCTCATTTACTTAACAATAATTTAATTGATGACTTACCTATATGAATGACAGTTATTGTATGAAGTAGTCTGAGCTTAGAAATTTTGAGTATTACCTGAGCAGTCTCAGACTGTTTGCTTATCTGTAAAACAGTGACAATGATACGACACATGGCTCAGGATCATCGGCAGGATTAAGTGAATTAATACATGTAAAATACTTAGAATGCCTGGGGTTTAATAAGCACTCAAATGTTTCCTATTGTATTTCCTAGTCTTAAGGTATTGCTTACTTGTAATTAGTCCTATGTAGGTAACCCCAAAGAATAACTTTCAGTCTCAGAATTCCATGGACATCAGAGGTCACAACCAACCAGGAAAACATACCTCTGTTTGAGGAGTGTCTTAAAATTTTGTGATCTCTTTTAAGAACTTTTCTACTCGTGGAGGTTTATGGTCCAAACCATGTGATCTGATCCAATTGCTTGGATACATAAAATGAGTAAGATTAAAAAAAGAAGGGGGTGGTGGTGGGTACTGAGAGGAAGCTGTGCAGGTAAACAAAACCTTTCAACCCCTGGTCATTTATTTTCTTTTGGAGTTGAAGGTAACAATGCTATTAGAGTGCGACTGTTGTTAGCTTTTAGTCCCTTATTAATGCATACAAAGTAACCTCAAATTTCTACAACTACAGTCATATATAGATGAATTCTATGAACACCTGAGGATGTTAATTTTCAAGACCTATAACTGGGGTCTTGGTGTTATTTTTAAGCCTGAAACCTTCCTTGGCCATACTAACCACGAAACTGTCCTTGGCTTCTGGCTCCACTTCAGCAGTTATTTGGTATCTGACAATCACCGTAGACAGAATTTTATCTTACTTTTTTCTCCTCCCTCTGTGTACATCGACAAAACGATGTTATCAAATGGTTTTACTTGGGATGGTTACAGGAACTTGGGAACTTAGTACTTTCAGCCTAAATGCCAGCAGAACTCGGCAACTTTCTCTTTGATGACTATTCCTTCCTTCAAGTATTCAGGTTAAGAACTTGGAAGTATCTTTACTCCTCCTGTGCTTATACCTCACATCCAATATCAGAAATACTTGCTCCACTTATAGAAAACATAGCCAGAGATAAATTATATCTACTGCTACCCCTGACATAAGCCATCAGTAACATCCCAATCATCACAACATGGTGTTAACTGGTCTAGCTTCCACCCATGGCCACCTTATGCTCTAGTCAACACAGTAACCACAAGTGGATACTTTTAAAAAGTCAAGTCACATCAGGCTACACTTCTGTTCAAACTCTGTGGCTCCCCATCTTGCTCAAAGTACAAGTATCTCAACAAAAAGCCTCCATGTTCCTAAGCATTCTAGCTTATCAGCCCTCCTTGCTTACACTCTCTTGACATCTTATCTACTGCCCTCTACCAGGAATACTTTTGTTCCATTTTACTTTCTTCTCTCAATGTCCTCAGTGAGGCCTGTCCTGACTAGCCTATTTAAATACTCATGTCTACACACACCTAGACATTTTCTATTCCATACTCCAGTTTTGTCCATAGCATTTATCACTATTTAATACAGAAGTTCCTAAGTGCAGTCACCAGAACTTTTGAGTTCCCAGATAATGCTGATACTGGGGGTCTAGGGACCATACTTTGAGAACCACTTCTTCAGGGGAATCTCTTCTCACAGACTTTCACTCTTTCTGATTAAAGTAGGGATAAACCATAACAGTTCTAGGAACCACCAGACTACCTTAAGTGCTTCTTAAAACTCAGAATGCTTGGCTCCACCCTCCCTTACTTTCCGAGTGGGTAGGACTGAGGTAGAATCTGAGACTTACATTTATAACAATTAGCCTTTGAAAACCACTGGCTGCATATGATAGTTTTTATGAAGTTTGTCTGTTTACTCCCCTCTAGAACATAAACTCTATGAAGCATGGATTTTTTTTTCTTGTTTTCCACTGTTTCCTCATGCAAAGGATGCTATCAGGAACACAGCTGCTCAATAAATACATGCTGAACTACTAAGTGAAAATTCCTTATTTACTGTTAGAAAATTTCTAACTATATCTTGTCAGATATTATATGTAGAAATACAAAAGTTAAAGAATCATTAGAGTTCAATCCCATCAGACAAGAATGTAATTTTAAGCAATAGGCCACAGAAACAACTGGAATTTCCTAATATTCAGGAAATAAATTATTATTAACAATTTTTAAAAAAATATTAACAACTATACACAGTCATGGAATGCTAACACTTGCTGTGCTTATCATGTATAGCATCTCATTTAGTCCTCATAATGAACTCTGAAGGTGGTTAGTGGTGTTGCTTTCACTTTACAGATACGGGCTATTACACCAGAGCCCCTTTATTAGTGGACTCTGGGGTTTCCACACTATCTTCCCTACATGTGCTCATCCAATTACAGCAACAAGATAGGGTATATCTTGGGAGGTGACACTTTTCTTTTTAGTGTACAGACATGTTAAGATTTGAATTTAAAATTTGCTGAACTATACTGACCTCTTATAACTCTAAAAGATCATCCTTCCCACTTTTCTATTGTTAGAACAAAGGGTCAGCAAATTTTTTCTTAAAGGGCTCAACAGTAAATATTTTAGATTTGATGGTCATGTAATTCTACAGTCATGGACAAAACATAAATGAATGGGATGGTTTTGTTTCAATAAACCTTTATTTACTCAACAGGTGGCCAGCCCATCAACCAGTTTATGTACTCCTATGTTAAAGGACTTCAGTCTCAGTAGAACAAACGAACATATTCCTGTAACTAAAAATAGTGACTTATAAAAATGACAATTCTAGTATGCAAATCAAAACAGACACCTGTCTCTGTAATAAGCTGAACTAGTTAAAAGAATCCTCATATTTATTTTTTCACAGCACAAACGCAGTTGACACAGTTAAGTCCGTAATTCCCCACAAAACTTAAAAACTTAACAACTGAGAATCTAAACTCTTACAATCGTCAGGATCATTCGTAGTTATACACTCTATGGAATCCATTCCATAGCAGCAGAGGAGAACCTTTAACTTAAAGCACCAAGTTTCCAGGCATTACTACAAATGTCTTTTTTCATTCTCTAATACATGCAGTCAAACTGCCAATGAAGCAAATACCAATTCACATTAAGCTTTAGTGGATAAGGGAAACTAGTTGGGAACCCAACATTATTCTCAAGTCTAAAAGTGATTCTACCTCTTTTACCTTATATTTCCTTCTATGAAAATTTTAAACTTTTAATATAGTTATAACATGGATATAAATTTTATTTTGAATATGATCTCTTTCAGACTCATCTAACAGTTTAGGATGTTTGTATTTGTTTTTTAAGTACTGAGGAAAACAAAAAGGTGATTTCTTATCTGTAATATTGTGGCAATCTTTATTAAAAGTTAAATTTGGAATTTTATAGCAAAGTAATACTGTCTGTCCAAATTATAGATTCAACAAATTCAAGTTATGTAAATTATGATACAAAGCTTATTCCCAATATATTTTATGGAAATGTGTTTTCATTTTCTGGTGTAGGGTTCTATCGGCACTTTTAGGATGTTGCTAACATCTGCCCTATCTACCCAGAGATTAATGGATCACTAAATGGACAATGAAAACTGGTTGAGGCTGCTGATGAATGCTTCAACAGGCATCTGACACACAGACACAGATTTCATTGTTACAGTCAGTAGAACTGAAGTCTTCCTTAAAATTGTGCTCCTGACAGGCTGAAGACAGAGTAATGGATTGTTAGTTCTTTAAGCCAAAAATGCATGTATCTGCTGTACAAAGGCTTCATTCTCTGCCTGTAGTCAGTAACTTAAGGGCCTTCTGCAGATTCTGTACAGCAGTGCTGACGTCTTCATACTGCAAAGCACTGCCAGCGTATTTGCAGTATTTCTGAGCTCTAGCAAAGTCCTCTGCTGTTAGACGGATATCCCCTACAAAAACAAAGTGATTAAGATGTTTGTAGGAATATAAAAAGTGTTCTGTTAGGTTAGGTAAATGCTTACATTCAAGATTACAGAAAATATTTAAGGTTATATAAAAACATGAAGCTTTTTCTCAATCCCAGTTGTATTTAAATATATTTTCTTCATGCTTTTTAATGTTTTAATTACTAATATAAACAATACATATGCTGATACATAATAACTTATGTGAACAAGATTTTCCTTCCTGAAGTTAAAAACTAGAAAACTTTTTTTTTTGGCAAATTAATTGCAAAATAATGATATTCTGCGCAAAACAAGGATAGTAGCTTTGGTGTTTATGCTAGAATTCTGAGCCTCTTTTTTCATGGAACAATACACACAGACTAAACCATTCAAACTTCATTTGAACTAGAGTATAAATATAGCCCTCAATAAGAATAATGAATAACTATGTAAAAAAATTTCGTAAATTAACTTTTTTTAGCCTGAAAATATTTTGCATTTTTGTGTCATCCATATAAAAAGCTCAGCGACTTAAGATATTATATATATCATTCAACTACATAATAAAACATGTAAATATCTCTTATAAATTAGTTGTCCAATATTTATTCTTAATAAGTTTTCCAGCTACCCATATGATTAACATGAGTAAATAATTAGGGTAAAAAAACCACACTAAAAACATTTCATCTAATATAAGACTTGAATATACTTGAATACATATTTCTAAAGATAAAATTAAAAACTGACTTTGTCGCTTGTCTTTTGAAATAAACAACCTTTTTTTTTTAGAAATTATGAGGGTTCTAAGGAGAACTGATCAGAAGGCTGGTAGCATAGAATATAATGAACAGATAATGCATTTCAATTCTGTTTATAAGCAAAAAAGAATACATTTCTATTTTGTTTATAAACTTCTATTTATAAATAGAATTAATTTGTTTAGTTGCTGTTAATTTTATCATAGATATACAGCATAAAGTGAAAACTTGTCTAGGGAAAGAATTCAAATTAGGTACCAAATTCCAGGTACTCTGATACTAAGTTCTGGTCCAAATTATTTTCTAACATTTTCAAAAAGAGTACTGAAACAATGTATTCTACAGTTTCTAGCCCAGTGTCAGGCACCTGTAAGTGCTAAATAACTTTAATGAATGAAAATTAAAAAGCTGTCTGTACTTTAAATTACTTCCCACATTTAAATAAAGTTCATACAGAATTTAAAGCATTAATTAAATGTCAGATTTTATGGTAATACACTTACATACCTACATATAGTAACTAGCCCAGGTTGTTACATATAGAAAGTCTTCAAGTAGCTTAATTAATATTATTAAAAATTACATTAATAGTTGGTCCTTGTTCTTGCGAATCAGAGATTACACATTCCAATTTTAACAGAACTTATTTTAATTTCCTTGAATTTTGGTGGTGTTTAAAAAGTAAAATACACAAATCAATATACTCCTCAAATGTAATTATTCATTAAAAAATCAAAAAGTTTCTCCACAATTATACTTTCAGTATTTTAATGACTTGACATTTGTTACCCATTAAACCTAAAATCAATTTTTCTGCTGTTCTGTTGGCAATTTGTTCAGGCATGTTTCAGCTTATACTTTTGTCTTGAATGTACCTAGCAGATTCTTTAATGGCAGTTCAAAAATTAAGAAGTTCTTGTCACCTATATCTATATGTACTATATTGGTAAGTGAAAAATTTACCTTAACTCAAGTTTGTAATTGAATATTTCTATCCTCCTATCTCAAGGTAATATTTAAATATATAAGGCATCCACCCAGAATTTACTGAGCTTGCTAGAAGAAAGCCCTAATGCTCAGAACTAATCTTATTTTTACAGCAGTTTGGCTGACATATCCCTTATTTATTAATAAGATAAAATACATATAGTGGCAAGAACTGTTACTTTTATGGTATTTATAAACTAAACTTGCCATTAATGATAAAGCTATTTTAAAACATATTGCATATTGTTCATGAAATAACAATTTTAATATTCATAAAATGTGAATGAAAATATTTTAATAGAAAATATAACTATAGATGTGATACATATAGCTTAGAGACATGTATAAAAAATTAAAACTCATATAAAATTCAGTAAGTAGATAATAACTAATTTATAGATTTAATTATAGATTTATACAGGGATGTTAGATTTATTTTTAACAAATTAAAAAATACGGAGAACTTAAAAAGCCATGTCATATAGTTACTTTTGCCACTTTGGAACACTTCAGGCTTTCTTTCACTTAAAAAAATATTGTCTACAAGTCAATCATAAAACATGCAGATTAAAATTTTAAATTCAATTAAAAAAATCTGCCTCCTAATTAACAATTCTTTTAAGTTAGAATTTAAAGATTAAATGGAGAAAGTGGAAAAGAAGGAGGGAAAACACATTTCAGGAAGAGAATAATCATTCAATTTCAGTTTATCTGATTTTATATTCAAGATAGTAAGTACTGCTTATTGCACCCAAATAAAAACTGTTTTTCTATCATTAAAATTTACTAGGAGTTATAATCAGAACCAGAGAGAGCACAGCGTGGACCTAAAAGGTGTTAAAATATTATAGAGGTTGTCTAATATAATACCTTTGCTTCTGATATCTGTGCCTATCCATTCCAGAATGCTTCAGACAAAACTGTCTTTATCATAAAGCAGCTTCCCCCTTTCACAGAGCCATCAGTCAAGTCCTCTATTATAGTGGGAAGAGACTGGGTCAGCACTGGATCAAAAGTAACATTACTTGGTGTAAAGAGAAATCCCTGCATGTCCAGATGACTTAGGGATTCATTTCCTAGGTTGATTTATCTAATGTCATGACAGGCTAAAATACTTAGTAAATATTTCCAAAATGGGTCTTTATAGAGACTCTGTCCTATTTAGTCAGGTAGTTCAATATGTTCATGTCAAGGACCCAGGATAATCTGATCTTAGTGTACTCTATTATCCTCTGACTTGAATGGAATGCAGACAGAATCATAGGGGAACCATCTGACCTGCAATAAATCTTGCATGTAAATACAAAGCTTAGTACTGAACTCTTATATCCAGGCCACCGTCAAGATATGTCACTTAAATATTATTGTAAGACAAAAGTCATCCATGAATTCATTATAAAAATATTTAATATACACTAATACTAATATACACACATAGTATGTATATTAAAAGTTGGTAAGTACTAAGCATTAAAGAGAAAAATGTAGCAAGAAAGAGGTATAGGAAGTATTACAGGTGGAGGTGAAGGTAGTGCTGGTGGTTATGAAACCACTATTTTTAGTTTGTGTTTAATTAGTCTGGTTTTGTCTAGTTAGTCTAGACTCTTCTTATGCATTTAAACATATATGTACATGTAGGAAGATACAGTTTTGTTTAAAAAAATGTTTTTTTTTCCTAAACAGGGTCATACTATATTTAATGTTGCACAACTTGGTTTTTTACTCAATATGTCTTTTTTACTCAATATGACATCTTTTCACATGAGAGTTATCATGTTCTTTTTTAATGTGTGCACAGTATTCCATAGGGTAAATGAACTGTAACTTCTCAAGAGCTGGTGCCTAAGATTATTTTCTACTACTATAGATGATGCTGAAGTAAAATTTCTTTGTAAATACACTGTCTCCATGTCTAAATATTTTCTTCAGATAAATTTCTAAAAGTGTAATAGATGGGTCAAAAAAATTACATTTGCAATTCTGACAGTGACTTACCACTACTGATAAAAGTTTTACTGTGTACATTACCATCAACAGCATATAAGTGTCACTCCTATGTCTTTATTAACACTGTAGATTATCAATCCTTTAAAATATTTTTGTATTTATTGACCTAAAACTAAACTCACTTTGCAATTTTGAGTTTCCCTGTTAGTATGGCTGGGCATCTTTTCATGTATTTAGTGCACATCTGCATTACCTATTCTACTGAATTATGTTTTACTTATTCATTTGTAGGAGCCCTTTATATATATGCTCTGGACATTAATTCTTTATTTTTGTTTGAATTTCCTCCTGGTCTTTTAGTTGCATTTCAACAATGTAAAGGAGGTGAGAGTATCTTCTGAGGTCTGGAACTTACTACTTTTTATTGGTCATACCTTTTAAGACACAACTAAATGATATATAAGAATTGGGAGATAGCATCTCATATGTATATTGTCCTGCTAACCAACTGCTCTAACATCACTTTTGAATATATACTTCTGCCACACTGATTCACCTGACATCTCTTTTATCATTAATTCTCATCCTGTGTGATCCAATTTCTGGATTCCCTGTTCTGTTTCACTGAAATACCTGTTATCTTCATATATGTTCAAATTAGATTTTAGACACAGCTTTTACAGGGTGGGACTAAAGAGGGAGTCTGGAAACCAAGTTTAAGAGGAATATAGTATTTGTTAGGCAGGTTACCTGTGTATCTAGAATAGAGATATAATTAAATTCACTATGTTCTTTGATAATTTGCCAATTTATTACAGGTTCTTTTTTGTTTTTGTTTTCAACTATGGTCAGTTTCTCTCTTCTTAGATAGTATAATAACAGTGCAGATAAGGAAGATCATAATCACAACATAGTAATCTTGAACTAATCTAGCATAAGCTTTCAGCTACATGTTTGTGCCACTATATCCAGACTACACAAAAAGAGGAACTGTGAAAAAAGGGAATGACTTTGGATTTAAGTATTTTTGATAATATGAAACAACCTTGGTTCACTGGACAATCTAATAGACACTCCAAGAAATGTGTTTCAAATTACCTGGACATTCAGATATATGGTACTCCTAAGGTAAAATTACAAAACAACATCCCAAAACAGGAGATACTTTATTTCTCATAAAAGTCAGGTGACTTACCCTGGGAAACTGTACTGAAAAGTGCAGGGTCAATGGCTGGAATAGTCTGTGGAGTAGGTTGGATAGTATTACTTGTTACACCTGCAAATCAGAAAACCACAAATGGGTATAAAAGTGTTGCACCTCTTAATTATATACTAGGAAAGCACTTAAAATATCCTGGAGGAATCTCATTACTGTACTTAATTATTTTCTTGATACTTTAATGAATTACAATTTGATAAACTTATTTGATTCTGGAAGCTGGAATAAAAAATATGCAGGAAAATACATTTTGAGTGTTTACATATATGTACTGGCCACATATTTCCTATTACATACTTTGTCATGTCTAATGCTTCAATTTGCCTCTCATTAAAGCTTACCAAATACCTGCAGTAGTAACAGACCACTGTCCTACCTTTCAATTTCTCAGTTAATTCAGTAATTTTGGGGACAAAGTGGGATATCACAGTTTAGTTTAACTTATGGGTTAGTCCCATTTCATCACTCTGTATGAAATTACAAATTATACATTCCAAATTTTACAGTTCACAAAGTTTTAAGATGATATTTTTATATATCCAATAAGCAATTAGTCTTCCTGTTAAAGCATGTCATGACCGTCATATTCAGTGAATAACTAGCATTATTGATTAATGTTAGTATGCTAGAATTGAAGATCATTAACCTAAAAAATTAATAGAAACTGTTGAAACTTCTCAAAGAGAAGTACATGATTCAAACTGCAGGAAAGCAAATGAGGATTAAAAGTTGGACTCAAATGGTCTCTAGAAACAGGGTTCATCTCCCCCAAGCTAATAGATTAAATTCAAATCATTTACTGTAAGCATTAAGGTAGTAAGGGAAAGACACCGGGATAAGAAGGGAACAAAAGACAGAAAATAAATTGGCAAGTGTATAGGGGCACAAATACATAGGCAATTAGAGTTGTAGAATGATGGTTTCACAGAGGGTGATCAAAGTCCTAAAATACAGTCTGCAGATATGAAGTTTTGACTTTGAAGGACTTTTCATTCCTAACCCAAAGGAAAATGACTTAAATATAAAATATTTTATATCATTTAATTTTGTTGTTAGGGCAAACTAGTTTCAGTTTGGAGTCTTTGGAACTATTAAGTCATGAAAAATCATACTTTTTAACTAAAAATAGAACTAATTAAAAATTTAAAAGTACAAAGAATACAGATGAAAAGTCAAGTACAAATGTTAAACAGTACACAAAAAATAGGTAAAAATCTTTCTTTCATTCTACTCCAGGCTACTTTAGGGCTATCACTGGTTTCTAGAACACCCTTCCATGCACATGTATGCATCCAGTCTTAGCATATGTCTTAGCATGTATGTGACTAGTCCAATGTCTACGTGTATAAAAATAAATGTTTTTTCCTAAGAAATTTGTGTTTTGCCTAAATCAAATTCCTCCAAATTAACTCCTTCTTCTATGGAGAGGCATACTTTGGTATACATATGTGTTTTGCAAATGGCAGTATGTCTGCATACTGTACTATTCTCTGTATTTTTTCACTTAATAACTCCAGATTACTATATAGAAATCTGCCTTATTCTTTTTAATGGCCACATAGTATTCCATTCTGTGCACAAATTACAATTTATAAAGCAATCTCTTACGGAGGGATATTTAGGTTATTTCCAATCTTTTGGTACTACAGATAATAGTACAGTGAATAATCTTATGCATTACATTGTGTACATATATATACATGTATATGTACATATATATGAGTGAAAATATAGGACAAACTTTAAGAAGCATAACTGCAAAGTCAGGAGATACACACATTTTAAATCAACTAATTCAGTGACTATCTTTTGCTTGATTTTAAATTAGCTCTAACCAAATTTATTAAACTATATTAACCAAATATATTAAACTATAAACATCTTACATAATTCTCCCCCATAAAACTTGAACTTTCAAAGGCACATAATTACATAATAAAAAAAATGTTAGAATGCAAGATTTGACAGGGATTTTCAGAGGCTACCTAGTCAAGTCTAGTGCTTTGAAGCAGCTTTACCTAAAACAGGGAGATGACTGAACATATTCTTCATACAGATCTTAACAACAACAGAAAAAGGTATGTAACTCACAAATCAGTCTAGCTATTAATGCATTCCCTGCTAAGTAACTGTGTTTCTGACTAAACTAAAATCCTCCAAACAATCCCCTTTCTCACAGAGAAGGCATACTTTTTTGGGTCAGCATAGTACACTAGTTTTTAAATACTTATTTGTACAGCCCCATATGATTAAATAAGTAAGCAATATTAGTTAACAAGAACAAAACAGAATTTGCAGGGAGAAAATTCAGTTATATAGTAAAATTTTATTTGAGCGATATTAAAAAAAATAGGTCTGCATTTTATTAAGAATTTCTGGGCACAATCATTCAATTAGGACTTGAACTGACAACACTGGGTACTCAACATGCCTCATGCAGCAATTAGAAGATGCTGCTTCTCATTTATCTTGATGTACATGAGCCAAGGCCTGTCCTTTTGGCAGCCATTATGACATATTCCCATGGGAGTCTAGTCTACTGGCTCAACACCAGCTCATAAATACCTGTTAAGTCAGTAAAAATGGCTTTTAGTTTATGTTATTTATTTATTTCTTCAGATGCCCAAAACTAGTTAGGTTTCCTTCTTTCTTGATTTAGAAGGATGAATTTGTCAATTTGCAAATGGGTTGCAGTCCCCTAGACCACAGTATGTTGGTGTGATGTGACCATAAAAAACATTTCTGGGGGAAAGAACTGTGTTGGAATGTCTTTCTGTCTATTATTTAACAAAAAAGAAGTATTAACAAGTAACTTCTGGTTAATTTTTAAGTAGATGATTACATAACTTATTAAATGAGATTAATATATATTCAAGAATTAAACATTATAAGACTTCTTATTAAATGCTAAGTTGTTCTGAAAATGGAGAAATAAGTGTTGGCTAGAAAATCAGAGAAGACTATCCAAAAAGAATAATTAAAGAGAACCCTGAAAGGGAGTACGGCATTCAGAGAGGCAGAGAAAAAGAGAGGGACATGGTATCTACAATGAACACTATATGCAAAGGGAAGAAACACCAGGGTTAGATCAAGGAAAACCTCAGTCTAGTCATGGAAAACAGCACTGGTAGAAACCATTAGGACAAAATACAAACAACTTTGAAAGCTGTAGAGAAGAACTCAAATGCAGTACATCTGACACTTAAAAGACTAATAATAATAAAAGAGTTAAATTTTTGATCTACATATGAGGTGAGCTGCATTTATAGTTAGAAGGCTAGCATTAATTATAAAATAATTCTATTATTTAGCCTATTTGGATTTCTTACTGAGATCTTCAATATTTACAAATGCTAAAAAACGTTATGTTCCAAGAGAAGGAAAAACCTATCCACTGTGTTGGCTACATCTGCTCTTCCATGTGGTTAAAGCGCAAAAGGCAAGCACTGTGCCTGTCTAAACAATTGCTACCCTACCCTCCTTACTTCGCTGTGGAAGAGCTGAACACTGTATATTAGTACATACTATTCTTCTTAGCTATCTGAAGGATTTCCCTTTGATAAAAGTGCATCCTGGACCTTTATACAAGAGAAAGTAAATCATTCTTAAAGTGAGCAAGAGGGGAAACATCTGCTTTATTTATAAACTACAAATGTTATTTCATTTTCTATTGGGCTATTATGAACTTTTTTTTTACTGTCTTAAATGTAACAGAAAAAAAATCTGCTGGATTGGAGGAGGGGATTCCAATATCTCAAACCAATCTTAAGTTAGGGGCAAAATATTATGAGAAAAGTAGGTTTTGATCGACAGGATTTTAGTTCTTTGGAGGAAAGGACATGAAAGGTGACAAAAATGGTATCAGAAAGACTTGGGTTCAAATTCTAGTTCTGTCACTAATCAGTATGTTTGTATGTTTATTTTCTTGGGATAACTGCTTAATTTCTTTACAGTTTGTAAATAAGGGACAGCAATATCTATATAGTTGCTATAACACATTATAAAATAGCTCTGATAATGAAATTCTAAGTCTATGAGAGTATATGAAGTAATAAGATAGAACCTCACCCTGAAAAAGTTCCAAGATTTTTAGATTTATGCTCCCACTCTGAGGAACAAAAGAGAGAAAAAAAAATAGAGGCTCATGCCAGAGTTAACTGGATAAAAAGGAACTGTTCATGCCAGAAAAGTTCCTAATAAGACTACCTCTATCTTTAAGTCAGTTATTCTAAGCAGGAGTTGTCTGTTAGTTTGAATATGAAACTACTAATATGTTACCACTTTTGTTGTATAAAATAGCAGTTTCTTATGGTTCACCCTAATAGAGCCCTCTTACTAGAAGTAAATTTCCCTCTTATATATACACATGGCATGCTTACACATATGCTGATACCACAACTCTGCTCTAAGATATATTGTCTAAAAGCAAAACACCTTAGCCAATCTTTCTGTAAGGTCAATATTCTACCTCCAAATGTGATACTTCCCTTGATTCATAAAATAATTTTAAGTGTTCATTAACTTGCTATTAAATGCCCTGTCTTTCTTTGGCACAGAAATAGGAAGGAAGAGGGGAAAAAAAGGAAAAGGAAGCTAATTTGCTGAACACTGATTTTATGTTAGGCATAGTAGTAGTTAATTTTCATATCTTTTCCCCTTTGTAATTAAAACCATCATGAGAAGTAAGTATGATTGATTTCATTTTAAAAAGAGGAAACACCTATGTCAAGAGAAGTTGAACAATTGAACTTGTGGTTTAGAAAGGTGTAGAAACTAATAACCAATACTGTATGACTTCAAAAAGCATTTTATTCTCACTTTGCCCATCTACAAGGATGCCTGTGTCAGAGGCTCTTGGTTAGTTTTTAAACTTATTGGTATAGTTCAATCAGTATTTATCTAAGGCAAATACATCTAAGTAGCTGTTTTTTTTTTTTTTTTGGAGGGCATCTCTCATATTTATTGATCAAATGGTTGTTAACAACAATAAAATTCAGTATAGGGGGGTCAATGCTCAATGTACAATCATTAATCCATCTCAAGCCTAATTCTCGTCAGTCTCCAATCTTCTGAAGCATAACGAACAAGTTCTTACATGGTGAACGAATTCTTACAGAGTGAATAAATTCTTACATGGTGAACAGTACAAGGGCATTCATCACAGAAACTTTCGGTTTTGATCATGCAATATGACCTATAAACCATCAGGTCAAATATGAATATTCATTTGATTTTTGTACTTGATTTATATGTTGATCCCACATTTCTCCTATTATTATTATTATTTTTATTTTTAATAAAATGCTGAAGTGGTAGGTAGATGCAAGATAAAGGTAGAAAACATAGTTTAGTGCTGTAAGAAGGCAAATGTAGATGATCAGATGATCAGGTGTGTGCCTATGGACTAAGTATTAATCCAGGCTAGACAAGGGCAGCAAGACATCCACGGATGCAGAAGATTTCTCTCAAAGCAGGGGGGGTGAGGTTCTGAGCCTCACCTCTGTTGATCCCCAAATTCTCACCTGATGGTCCCCCTGCGACTGTGCCTGTCTTAGGTTGTTCCTCCCTTGAGGAATCTTACCCGTCTCTGGCTAACCAGTCATCTTCCGGGGCCATACAGGGAAATGTAAAGTTGGTAAGTGAGAGAGAAGCCATATTGTTTGAAAAGGTTAGCTTTTTTCTAAGTAGCTGTTTTTGCTTGTCTTATTCTACATAGGGTACTGAATATTTCTAAAAGATAATAAAATATTTCAAACAACATTCCATGAAATTTTACTTATAAAAGTAAACAGACATTGGTCTATTAATGACATAGACCATAAAGTAATGAAAAGTCAAGGTAAATATTCAGAATGACAAGATAAATGAGATCACCATTAAAATTACTAAGTTCATCAGTATTCTTAAAGACAAAAATATTAGCAATAATTGTAGATTACTTAAAGTTGAAAGTTTTAAAATAGGAAAGAGACTCATCATAGTTGCTAGCTACAATGGTTAAAATAGTAAACTTTTAAATGTTACTTAACTCATGCAAAATCATCTAAATAGTTTGGGTAAACAGACAAACTTTTAAAGTCAATGTGGTAATGGTGTGTTACATAACGCAAACAATAGAAATCAGCACTCAAAGGATGGATGACTTTCATTCTGTCAATGAAATATTTTGAAATGTGTATAGTTCACTACCTTATAGACTACTCTTATGCTGGGATAAAAGTAAAATTTTAAGAACAATATTTGGAAAACAAAATAAAGATTTAAATTATGGTTTTAAATGCCCTTCCTATTTGGAAGCAAGGGTAATATTCCGTCAACAATACAACTAAATGGAAGAGTGCCTGCAAGGGTAATATTCTTTGTACAATATAAGCAAATGGAAGGGCGCATACAACTTTAAAAAATAACTTTACTGCTACTGACTTATTACTGGAGACTAATTTAATCAGATCTTTTTTAATGAAGACACAGAGCACTGATTTATTAAAAAATAGCAGATACCTCTTCCCTGGACTTTTTTTTTAGTCATATGTTTGTACTATTAAAAAAAAAAAACAGAACACCTGAACTACCTCCTTTCACTTGTCTGTGATTCCACTGCTTCGAGATGCTGTGGTTCAAAGTCTGATCCCTCATCAATACCCATGTTGAGGGCAGAGATAGGGTCCTAAGGGAATGGGGCAAGAAAATTTAGACTTGCTATCACAGTGGGACCCTATCCTGTGATAACCTTGCTCACTTCTCAGCGCTATTCTTGAGCAATGCTGAAGGGGAAAGAGAGGGGAAGAAAACAGTAACACACATGAAAGACAGTGAAGCCATTCTTATTAGTAAGATATAAGGTTAATAGTAATCAATGTATGTAAATGTTTTGTCATTTCTCTAAAAACTAAAATACAACTAATATTAAAACTTCAATGAATACGACTTAATGCTTTGTGTGTGGGCGGGGGGGCTCAGGTAGAATTTAAAGAACTCATCATGCTTTATGACCACCATTATGAGGCACGAATATGGTAAGTACAGTTCTTACTATGAAAAGAGAGTATGAAACCTGTTAAGCTTTACTTTTTTGTACCTGTGCTGTGAGGCACTTCCGCTGGCGTATTAGCTGGAGCATGGGCACCGGGAGGAATCTGTATTCCACTATAGCTGCTTGATGGCATGTTGCTTGGGTCATAAGCTGAAGTTGATGGCTGTGGTGGCTGCATGGGCAGAGCAGTTGCTCCAGCATCTTCATTTTCTTCAACATCTATTATATAACATATGAAATGCTGAAGTAGGTATTTTGAAATTAAAATGCCAAATATTCTTATTTTGCAATAAAGACATGAAAAACACACTTTCAAATGCAATTTCTATTTAATGCAGTTGATAAGCAGGCTCCATCTCTTAAAATAACAGGTTTTAATGTCTCTTCTTTTCTTAAAACATTTAATTGTGCCTAACAATATTATTATCACTTTAAGTAAATAGTAATTTTTCAAAATCTTTGGTGTAGTATATTTTTCTTAAAAATAACCCTTCTTTAAATCGAGTCTTTAAACTTATGAAAAACTGAGCCTATTTTAGCAAAACATGTTACATTTAGGCTAGCCATAAGAACTTCTTTCTGACAGCTGCTCTCTACTCAGTATTTGTTTAATTGCTGTTAAATGATTATCTGTGTTTGTTGTCAAAAGTATTAAGTTAACAAAATCAAAGGAAAAAATTTCATATGGAGCTGTGTAGAAAGGAGTGTAGGGGACTTTGTATCAATAACTTTTGAAATGCAGACTTTTAATATAAACTCTTATCATCAGCTGAATTTAAAAACTACTTTGAGAAAATTAAGTTTTGACAGTTTATTTAAATGAAAATAAAAAATAAATTTTTGTCTTATCATAAATATACATGTTCAATGTAGGTAGTTTTAAATAAGAAAGTCAAATCTACCTACTACTCTGAGATATGCATTTTACTATGTAATCTTATAGATATATTTTGTACATCATATATGATAAAATAATTTCTTCTATATGAGAGCTCTAACATTCATACATCTTAGAAAGGAAAAACACAAAGCAGAAACAAAAACAATGTGGAGAGTAACCAAAAGCTGGTAGAAACTAGAGTGAAGCTGGCCAGAACAAGAACTGACAATCTGCAGATGAAGATAATAAATGCAGATGGGCTACAAGATGTTATCGACAATAAACCTTAATAAAAATAATAAATATATGGGGAAAAGGAATTGTGACCAGTTAGGGGAAAAAGAAAGGCTATAATAAAGGACCTCAAAATGATCCAGATATTGAAATCAGCAGAAAATAACTTTAAAGCAGGTACTATAAATATGTTCAAGATCATAGTGAAAGATGTAGTCATAATGAATGAAGAGGAAAAATTAACCAGAGAAAATAAAACTAAGAGGGAACCAAACAAACAGGCCTAATAGAAAACAAATGCCAAGAATAGTTGGTTTAAATCTAGCTATAGCAATAACTGCATTAAGTGTAAATGGACTTAACACTACTTTGAAGGCTGATGATGTTGACAGACTGAAAAAAAAGAAACACTTTTATACTTTTTCAGATATGTTTAAATTAAAAGGATGAAACAGATATACCATGTAAATACCAAGCAGACAAAAGCTGAAGTGGCTAATTTCAATAATTGGCAAAAAAGAATTCATGTCAAGGAATATTAGCAGTGATATAATGGGACGTTTGCATAGGATAAAAATATTAGGTCACTAAAAACAATTAAATTATAAAATTACAAAATTGTGTCTAATAAAATAAAGTTTCAAATGAAATTAAAACTGATAAAACTAGTAAAATCCCCCTAGTTGGAGATTTTAACACCCGTCTATGATTCATTCGCAGACACCACAACTAATAAATGCAGAATACATCCTTTGCAAATGCACATGTGACATTCACCAAGACAGATTGTATTCTGGTCATAAAATAAATCTTAGTAAACTTTGAAATACTGAAATCTTGTGAAGTTCTCTGACCAACACAGAACTGAATTAGAAATTAATTTAATAAGCTAGAAAAGCCCCAAATATTTTTAAGCAGTATAGGTAATCCATTCCTCAAAGAAGAAATCACAAAGGCAATCAGAAATATTTGAATTGAATGATTATCAAAATTTGTGCCATTTAATGGATACCATTAAATCAGTGCCTAGAGGAAAACTCATTTATCTTTTGTCTATTGTTCTGTTTTGTTTATGGCTCTGTCATTGAAGAATATCTTGTGTTTTCCTAAGGTGCTGAAATCATTTTTTATAAATGGCTATTATATTTTGTCAAGTGCTTTTTATGCATTTATTTTGTTGATATGAGTTAACGTTGATTGATTTTCAAATGTTAAATCAACCCTGCACTCTTGGTTAAACCTACTTGGCTGTGGGTTAGAAAAGAAAAAGGCCTTACAATATAAAAAAAAAAATCTCTTTTCTTCTTAGCAAGCTAAAAAAATTAAAAGCAAATTAAACTTCAAGTACAGAGGTAAAATAATAAGGATAAGAGTAAACATAAAGAGAAAATAAAAACATTTAAAGCATTTACTGAAATAAAAGAATATGAAAGAAAAAGAAAATGACAGATTAAAAAAAGAGAAGATAGCTATTATAAATATTAGTAATTGAAGAGGTGATATCAATATGCATCCTACAGACATTAAAGGGAAAATGAGGACAATAAAAAATGTTAAGGCAATAAACTGCACAACTTAAGAGAAATGTCATTTTCCTTTTAATGTCTGCAGAATCATTATGAAACTACCAAAACTACCATAGACACAAACTACTAAAACTCATCCAAGAAGAAAATCTGAATAAATCCGAATAGTCCTGTATCTATTGAAGAACTTGAATTCACAGCAAAAAAAAAAAAAAA